CTTAATAAAATAAATTACTTTTTAGAAAAAGATAGCATAAATGGTATAATTTAAAATAAAATGTCTAATTTTGTTCTGCTATGTACATTTTTTGACGTAAAGAGTTTGACTTTACGAAATAGTAAAAAAAAACTACGAAATCAGCGGCGTACCTTAGTATAGACAAAAACAATAATATGATTATTCAATTTTTATAAATTTAAGAATTGTGGTTGCAAAAATTTACGCAACAGCATTTTATGGAGTAAACCAAAAAAGAAAACAAATAATTGATGAATAAACTTACTATTTTTATGGATAACAGTAGTGGATTTGCTTTCATTTCTGCTTACCTGTAAACAAAAAAAAATGCATTAAAATATTGATAAAGCTACTTTTTTATAAGAGGAGTATTTACATGACATGTATGCAAAAGTTTTATTTTTAATTTTATTAGAAATAAACTTGGAAAAACTTTTTTAAAAATCTGATGTGTCCAACACATGACTTTCCTATCTAGTTAACCTATTGCAGCATCTCTAAAAATGTTTAGAGGATAAACTAAATATATACATTTTCCACATACATCTACCTCGAAACATTTTTCTATAGATATTCATTGAAAACGAAAATACTGAAAAATTTTAATTTAGCACTTTTCCTCCAATTTTTCCATTACGGTCCATTTTAGAAAAGTCATTTAAAAACAAAAATTATAGAGATCGATATCGCAAACAACTTTTAGATTAACAATTTTCTTAAAAATCATAATTTTGCACATTTTGTCAAATTTCTCGAATACGGACCATTTCAGGAAAATTTGACATAGAACAAAAATTATAGATAATAATATTGTAAGTAACTTTTATTTAAAGAATTTTCTTCCCCAAACGTAAATAACGAATATATTCCATAAAATATAAAAATGACCACCAATAAAGTACCCCCCCAAATGTTCCGACTCTGTCCAAAATCTAATCAATTCACCTCAGGTCGAAATAAAACTTAAGTTTAAAATTTAATGTTTTTTCCTTTATCCGTTTTTGAGTTTTATTCAAAATTCGAAATTTACACATTTTCTCAAATATCTCGAATACGGTCCATTTTAGAGAAATTATTTATAGGATAAAAATTATAGAGAATTATATTACAAACAACTTTTATTTGAACAATTTTTATAAAAAATTCTTTTTTTTACATTTTGTCAAATTTCTCGAATACGGACCATTTTAGGAAAATTTTGCATAAAACAAAAATTATAGATAATTATATAAGAAGTAACAGATATATTCCATAAAATATAAAAATGACCACCTATAAAGTACCCCCCCAGATGTTCCGACTCTGCCCAAAATCTAATCAGCTCATTGGACGCTGAAACAAAGCTTAAGTTTAAAATTTGGTGTTTTTTTGTGTATCGGTTCATGAGTTATGCGTTATACAGACACACACACACACAGACACACACACACACAGACAGACAGACATCATCGCGAAAATAGTCAAAACGGATTCAGGGGACCTCAAAACGTAAAAATCCGTCGAAAACTCGAGGTCGAAAAAAATCATGATTCCTATACTTTCCTTATATCTGTATACAGATAGGAAAGTAAAAATTGATTCGTTTTTTCTAAGTTTCATAAGAGAGGACAAGAGTTATTTATGGGTTTTAAGATATTTCTAAAATTAAAAATCATCAGTTTTCTTAAAATTATAAAATTACAAAATTAATTACAAAATTACAAAATTATAAAATTACAAAATTACAAAATTACAAAATTACAAAATTACAAAATTACAAAATTACAAAATTACAAAATTACAAAATTACAAAATTACAAAATTACAAAATTACAAAATTACAAAATTACAAAATTACAAAATTACAAAATTACAAAATTACAAAATTACAAAATTACAAAATTACAAAATTACAAAATTACAAAATTACAAAATTACAAAATTACAAAATTACAAAATTACAAAATTACAAAATTACAAAATTACAAAATTACAAAATTACAAAATTACAAAATTACAAAATTACAAAATTACAAAATTACAAAATTACAAAATTACAAAATTACAAAATTACAAAATTACAAAATTACAAAATTACAAAATTACAAAATTACAAAATTACAAAATTACAAAATTACAAAATTACAAAATTACAAAATTACAAAATTACAAAATTACAAAATTACAAAATTACAAAATTACAAAATTACAAAATTACAAAATTACAAAATTACAAAATTACAAAATTACAAAATTACAAAATTACAAAATTACAAAATTACAAAATTACAAAATTACAAAATTACAAAATTACAAAATTACAAAATTACAAAATTACAAAATTGTCCTAAATTGTACTAAATTCTGCTAAATTCTTAAATTTCCAAAATTCTAAATTCCTATTTCTAAATTCCCAAATTCCTAAATTAATTCTTAAAGTTATTCCTAAACTAATTCCTAGAGTATTTCCTAAATTATTTCCTAAAGTAATTCCTGCAGTAATTCCCACGTAATATCTACAGTAATTCCTAAGGTAATTTCTAAAGCGATTCCTAAAGTAATGACTATACTACTTCCTAAAGTAATTTCTAATGTAATTTTTAAAGTAATTTTTAAAGTAATTCCCTAAATAATTACTTAAGGAATTCCTTAAGGAATTCCTAAAGTAATTACTAAATTAATTCCCAAAGCAATTCCTAAAGTGATTCCAAAGTAATTCCTTAAAGTAATTCCTCGATCAATTCATATAGTAGTTCCTAAATCAATTCCTAAAGTAATACCCAAAGTAATTCCTAAAGTAATTCCTAAAGTAATTCATAGAGTATTTCCCAAAGTAATTCCTAAATTAATTCCTAAATTAATTCCTAAATTAATTCCTAAATTAATGTCTATAGTAATTCCTAAATTCACCCCTAAATTAATTCCTAAAGCAATTACTAAAGCAATTCCTTAAGTAATTCCTAAATCAATTCATACATTAATTCCCAAAGTAATTCCTAAAGTAATTACTTGATCAATTCATAGAGTAATTCCTAAATTAATTCCTAAAGTAATTCCTAAATTAATTCCTAAATTAATTCCTAAAGTAATTCCTAAATTAATTCCTAAAGTAATTCCTAAATTCGTTACTAAATTAATTCCTAAAGTAATTCCTAAATTCGTTCCTAAATTAATTCCTAAAGTAATTCCTAAAATAATTCCTAAAGTAATTCCTAAAGTGATTCCTATAGTAATTCTTAAATTAATTCAATTTCTAACAGAGAATAAATATAAAAATAAAATAATACTGTTTATACAGAAAAAAATATACATAAATAATAAATTAAGCCATATGTTATAAAATAGAAAGAGCGACCGTTTCCCTTTGGAAAACAACTACTCTTTTGACAAATTCCGCAACAGACATTGAATTATATTCAAAGAAAACGGCAAAGATAAAAAGTTAATTTCAACATTCACTTTGATAATATTTATTAAGGAAAACGTTATTCACAAGTTCCCAAATTCCAAAATTCCTAAACTCCTAAATTCCTAAATTCCTAAATACCTAAATACCTAAATCCCTAAATTACTAAAGCCCTAAATTCCTAAATTTCTATATTCCTAAATTCCTAAATCCCTAAATTCCCAAATTTCTAAATTCCTAAATTCCTAAATGCCCAAATTCCTAAAGCCCTAAATTCCTAAATTTTTAAATTCCTAAATTCCCAAATTCCTAAATTTTTAAATTCCTAAATTCCCAAATTCCTAAATTCCTAAATCCCTAAATTTCTAAATCCTAAATTCCTAAATCCCCAAATTCCTAAAGCCCTAAATTCCTAAATTTTTAAATTCCTTAATTCCCAAATTCATAAACTCCTAAATTCCTAAATACCTAAATTTCCAAATTCATAAACTCCTAAATTCCTAAATACCTAAATACCTAAATACCTAAATACCTAAATACCTAAATACCTAAATACCTAAATACCTAAATACCTAAATACCTAAATACCTAAATACATAAATACCTAAATACCTAAATCCCTAAATTCCTAAAGCCCTAAATTCCTAAATTTCTATATCCCTAAATTCCTAAATTCCTAAATTCATAAATTCCTAAATCCCTTAATCACTAAATCACTAAATTCCTAAAGCCCTAAATTCGTAAATTCCTAAATTACTAAATTACTAAATTACTAAATTACTAAATTACTAAATTACTAAATTACTAAATTACTAAATTACTAAATTACTAAATTACTAAATTACTAAATTACTAAATTACTAAATTACTAAATTACTAAATTACTAAATTACTAAATTACTAAATTACTAAATTACTAAATTACTAAATTACTAAATTACTAAATTACTAAATTCCTAAATTCCTAAATTCCTAAATTCCTAATTCCTAAATTCCTAAATTTCTAAAATTCTAAATTCCTAAATTCCTAAATTCCTAAATTCCTAAATTCCTAAATTCCTAAATTCCTAAATTCCTAAATTCCTAAATTCCTAAATTCCTAAATTCCTAAATTCCTAAATTCCAAAATTCCAAAATTCCTAAATCCCTAAACTCCTAAATACCTAAATCCCTAAATTACAAAAGCCCTAAATTCCTAAATTTCTATATTCCTAAATTCCTAAATCCCTAAATTCCCAAATTTCTACATTCCTAAATTCCTAAATTCCTAAATCCCCAAATTCCTAAAGCCCTAAATTTCTAAATTTTTAAATTCCTAAATTCCTAAATCCCTAAATTCCTAAATCCTAAATTCCTAAATCCCCAAATTCCTAAAGCCCTAAATTCCTAAATTTTTAAATTCCTAAATTCCTAAATTCCAAAATTCCTAAATTCCTAAATTCCTAAATTCCTAAATTCCTAAATTCCCAAATTCCTAAATTCATAAATTCCTAAATTCCCAAATTCATAAACTCCTAAATTCCTAAATACCTAAATGCCTAAATACCTAAATACCTAAATCCCTAAATTCCTAAAGCCCCAAATTCCTAAATTTCTATATTCCTAAATTAATTCTTAAATCAATTCCTATATTAATTCCTAAAGTAACTCCTAAAGTAAATCCTAAAGTAACTCCTATAGTAATTCCTATAGTAACTCCTATAGTAACTCCTATAGTAACTCCTATAGTAACTCCTATAGTAACTCCTATAGTAACTCCTATAGTAACTTCTATAGTAACTCCTATAGTAACTCCTATAGTAACTCCTATAGTAACTCCTCTAGCAACTCTTATAGTAACTCCTATAGTAACTCCTATAGTACCTCTTATAGTAACTCCTATAGTAACTCCTATAGTAACTCCTATAGTAACTCCTCTAGCAACTCTTATAGTAACTCCTATAGTAACTCCTATAGTACCTCTTATAGTAACTCCTATAGTAACTCCTATAGTAACTCCTATAGTAACTCCTATAGTAACTCCTATAGTAACTCCTATAGTATTAGTTTTTACGAAGTTAAAAATTACCAGTGGCGTTACATTTAAAGATTAGAAGCTTACAATTATTTAATAATATTAAAATAAACGTTTGACAAATTTTTTGTCTGTTTTATTATTTACACAGTTGTTATTTTTTTTTTAATATATATCATCTTAAGGATTGTTCTTTTGTTGAGATTACGTTCATTTTCGAGAATTCTTACATTTTCAAAATACAAAGATTGTAAATTTTCTAACGCATGTTTAGTTTGGGCAGTGGAATTTTCATTATTAGTTGCGATATTATTTTTATAGTTTTTAATTCTTTTATGTAGATATTTTGTTTGTCCAATGTAAGTGGATTTACAGTCTCTGCAGTCAATTTTATAGACAACGTTTGGTTGATTTATTTTACTAATTTTCGGCTTAAAATTCGAAAATAACGTTTTAGTTGTATTGTTAGATTTATGAGCAAAGAAAAAGATTGTTTTAAAAATTTTTAAACTGTTTATAATCCTCCCCTTGTGTTTTTTCTTTTTAATTTTAAATTTTGACTGCAGAAGAGGGAAAAACATTTCTGCTATTTCTTAAAAATAAAAACAATGACCAATTAAACCATGGACATTTTTATTCATATAAAATTCTGATACGGTCTGAAAATTATCCTTATTCAAATAATAAAGACATTAAATTACTTATTTAAATTTATTTTTAGAGAACCTCTGATATTAACAGCGACGTGTCATTTAACTGTCAACACGGACCCATCGAATGTTATGGAAACTTAATACAAGGCTGTTCCCGAGATCTCATCGATTACGGTAGTAATACAGATGATTTGGGATTCAACAAAAATCACCTCGATTTCGTGGAATGTTTCATGAAAAATGTCACATCTCACTCGACCAGGACCCAAGCTGAAGAAGCGGTCGTCAGATGTTCTAAACCTAAAGTTATATCTGCATCAAGACTGAAAACTTGTGCCAACAATACCTTTGGTAATTATTCTTTTAGTACTTTATTATAATTAGTTTTATACTTAGTTTAATACTATTAAAAACTATCTTTAGAGTTTCAAAAGTTTACTAATGTTGTTGTAAAATTTATTTCACTAAAACGCAATTTTTTTTTTTTTTTTTTTTAGGAATCCAACACTTGATCCATTATGGAAAAATAACTGACAGTTTTCAAAAACCGTTAGAACACGTACCAACAATCGTGTTTAATGGAGTATACAATGAAGAAGAGAGCGATGGTGCTCAAGAAGATTTTCTAGCAGAATTATGTTCGAAAATTATAGAACCAAAACCAAAAGAATGTAAGTACAAAAAATATGAGGATGACAAATCAAATAATGGCCAGTCATCTTTTAAAAATATAACAGTTAATAGTACATTTAGGGCCAATCGTTTCACCTCTGGGTAAAGTTGGAAGCACATCCCTAACTAGTCATTGATAAAATTGTATTTGTTGTGAAGTCATCACCATCATCTACTAACTGTAGAGTCCAGTCGCTAATCAAAGTTTTAGGCCTAGTCACATTTTTATGCTCCCATATGTGTGTGTGTGTGTGTAAAGAGATCTACTGTTTCTATCAGGCTTAACACTCTCCATTAGATACTTCTTGAAAAAAGCCTCCAGACTATCCGGTTGGGTTAGTAGAGAACAACAAAAAATAATATTACGACAAGCAGTTGTAAGAAGGTAAAGACATACTACTTTCATTCGGAATGGAAAGAACAATACTTTTTTACAGAAGTTAAAGATAAAAATGTGTGATTGTTATGTAATACTTCGGTCTCCGTTGCTAAAAAAGGAAATATTGAGAGACATCATAAAACTGTACATTCTAATTTTGAAAAATCATTCCCACTACATTCTGTCGCCAGAAAGGAGAAACTGAAACAGTTAAAAAAGCAGTTAATTGGACAACAATCAATATTTTTAAGAACAGTCGACAAAAATAACGCTGCAACTGAAGCATCGTACCGTGTGTCCCAGATAATTGCACAAAAAAAGAAACCTTATGAAGACGAGGAAATGATAAAACAGGCGTTTTTAGAAGCTGCTGATTCGTTATTTGCCAACTTTAGAAATAAAGACGAGATAGTTTCAGCTATAAAATCTATGCAACTTTCTGCTAATACAGTGATGAGACGTGTAGAAGTAATGAGCAATGATATTTTTTTACAGTTAAGAACTGACTTAGATAACTGTGTTTATTTTTCACTTCAACTGGATAATTCAACAGATGTTGTTGACACTGCCCAGATGGCTGTGTTCGTCAGGATGGTTTTTAGTGATTTTACGATTAAAGAAGTCTTTTGAAGTTTATTCCACTAAAAGGACACACTACTGGACAGGAGTTGTTTTCTCATTTAAAAAATATTATTTCTTCCGAGAAAATTCCAATATCGAAAATGGTAGGCTTACCAACCGATGGCGCTCCAGCTATGGTGGGTTGTGATAAGGGTCTGGTGACGTTATGTCGTAAAGATAAAACTTTTCCGCAATTTCTCTGTTACCACTGCATTATCCATCAGTAAGCATTATGTGGAAATTTCCTGAAACTAAACAACGTTATGAAACTGGTGGTAAAAATTGTGAACAAGATTAGAGCTCAAGCGTTACAAAGAAGATTATTCAAAACCTTGGCCGATGAAGTTGACTGTCAATACGGGGACCTACTCCTTCACTCTGAAGTCCGATGGTTAAGTAGAGGACGGGTGTTGAAACGTTTTAATGATGTCCTATCTGGCATAGTTCAATTTTTCAAATAACGCGATGAACCGACTCCGGAACTAGAAAATTCAATCTGGCTTAGAGATTTTGGTTTTCTCGTGGACATTACAGAGAAATTAAACAAACTTAATTTGCAGCTTCAGGGGAGAGACAAAGAACTAGCGGAAATGATTTCTGATATAAAAGCATTTATCAAAAAGCTGGAGTTTTGGGAACAAAACCTAATTAACAGCGATGCCAAGCATTTTCCTATTCTTTCAGAAAAAATATCTCAAAATCCATTAGAACCCTATGACAGCAAATATCATGTAGAAATAGTTTCTACCCTGAAGAATAACTTCAAAAATCGTTTTAAGGATTTCAACGAAATGGCTTTAGTAGCGCAGTTTGTTGTTTCACCCTTTATGGAAATCGATATCCAACAGTTTGCAACTTGTGTTATGCAGAACTTTGGCGAAGACATTGCTGCAACAGAAATGGAAGTAATTGAGTTTCAAAATGATTTAGCCTTAAAATCGTTAGTCTCAAGTACCAAATGTATCTGGCCTATTGTAAGTAAAGATAAATTTTCAGTTCTATGCCGTGTTGCCTTCAATGCCGTTCAACCTATTTGTGTGAATCTTCTTTTTCCAATATGAAATTTATCAAGAACAAATATCGCAATCGACTTACAGATGAACATTTGGATAATTGTATTCGAATGGCTGTATCAAATTATACTGCAAACAATAAAAAAATTATCGATGAGTCTGAGTGACAGCCTTCTCATTGAATGTGCTTTTTTATTTTTCAATGTTTTAAGTGCGTTACTTTTTTGTTATTATTAACTATTTTTAAATCTTACGTGACATGCCGTTGTGGCTGGATAAAAGTTTGTGTTTATTTTTCAAACACCTTCGTTTGGTAGGTAGGAATGTAGCTATGAACAAGTACGTACTAGTAATATTAGTTATTTTGTTATTAGTTTATTATTAGTACCTATGTATTATGTATTACCAGTTAAATAGTAAAATAAATACATATAATGATAAATTAACTGTGGATTATTTAATTTACGTTGCGTTACGTGGCTTCCGTGTGGGTAGCTCGCTGTTTATTCCAAAATTAACAAAGTAGCTCAACACATTGAGAGGTTGGCTACCACTGGCTGTAGAGATTCCACGGGCAACTTAAAGCCAAAATACCATTCAGTGGGTAGATGAATTACCTATACTTTTATTAGAATTTAAAACTAGTCTTAATGAAATTCTTAAATGTTCTTCAGCTGAGATGCTTTACGATCAAACGCTTCTCAAATACCTGGAGAAATGTTAGTGATAATGATTCTTTTTAAATTAAGGCGAACCTTTAATAATTTCCATCCTTTTCAAACTAGAATTCAAAATAATTTTAAACCTTTTGTGGCAAAAGACCTAAAAACTTTTAATTTTGTTTTTGTTAAAGTTGAAGGTCTCAAAAAGAGTTTGCAACCACCATATGAAGACCCGTTTAGAGTAATAAAACTATTTACATTGATAAGAAACTATTTACATTGATAAGAATGGCGTTAAAGTTGCACTAGCCATAGATAGAACCAAACCAGCTTATATAGATTCAGATAAAAAAATTTATCATTTATTTTGAATTAATATATAATGTAGATATATACCCATGGTTATTTTACTAAGGGAGGGGGAGTATAATTATAAGGGGCATTGGTGAAGTTGTAATGAACAATTAAAATGAGTCTAATAATTTTGTTTATGACAAAGCCAGCTCCTACATATATCTATGGTTGCTAATTAAACTATATGGCTACTGTTTGTTACTCTGTCAAGTAAACCTACATGTTACTTTACTCAGAGGTGAAAAGATCAATCCTAACTGTTATAAAATAGTGTTTTTAATCCACTTCATAATTTTATGATACTAATTAGTATCCTCTTAGTTTACTTGTGTTTAAAATTAATATTTTATTTCAGGTGATAGTGCCAAAATACTTCAAAGAAAATCCTCAAAGTCTAGTGTTAATTCATTCCACACGATATCGCAGTTTCTTATATGGTACACATTAGTATTAATGTTTTATTTATCAACTTAAATTTTTTATAAAATCTTTTATTGTACATAAAAACTTAAAAATATACATAGTCTTTAATTTTTTTTGACCGAAAATTCTCTAGTTTTGTCAACCCAGAAGCCTGACAATATTAAAAGATGGTTCTAGAGGAAGGACCACGCACTTTTCTTATGCAAACGGGAGTACCGTCAACATGTCTGAATTTTTGATATGTTAAATAACTTGATGTCCCCATCAAAAGTGTCCATAGGCCCAATCAGAGATAACCAGGAGATGTAACTATTAACAAATATCGTGCGGCCGTGAATAAGACATATTCTAAGGGACACAGTAGGGTATAATCACAATATATTGTGGGTATAATATCCGCTGTTGTCATTGTTAGTAAAGTGTATGTATTAAAATATTCGCTCAAGAAAACGATTCACCTCCCACTCTTTTGTCACATAGCTGAATTTTTCACAGATGAAAGGTCATGATAAGGTAACCCTTTTTCCGGAGTTAATACAAAATTAGATTGTGCAGAAGGGCACTATCATCAAAAATCCAGATATTGATACCACCGAATAGAGAAAAAAATACTAATTTTTGGTCAAATGCACAATAAAATCTTTGTAGGGAGTAATTGTTTATACTTATTTAAAAAAAATCATTTGCATTAGCACTTACGGCCGAAAAAAAATATAAACGTAAATATCTTGGTTTTAGCCCTTCAAAAATTTAGTTAAAAAGTCGTCTTTTTTAAATATACCACTCATTTAACAAAAAACGAAGGCCTAAATGAAAAAAAAACATTCTTTATAAAATTTTTGCTTATGTGTTGAGAAGGTAACAAAACAAACACTATATGTTTTGCTTTTGAATTAACAAAGATATAACAATAAACGATGAGAGATGTCATAGGTTTATGCTGTAATTAATTCTCACCGTCAAATTTATCGACTCTCAGTGTATCTTTCTCTTCACCTTCAAACGTAGCATAGCTCTGTTTCTCTCTACGTGCGGGCTGATGTATCACATTATTGATATGGTAGGATTTTTCATTTTTTTTATTATAAAACTGCTTGTTATGTTCCATAGGGCAATGTGTCATATTGTTATCTGTTTTTACTAAAGAATTAATAAGTGTATTTGTTATATATTAAATTACCTAATAAATTGGGAAAAAATATAGACATTTTTGCATCTTTATTATATCTACATTCATCCTGTTGCAGCTAAATATATTTGGGTAAGTTATAAGTTTTCGTTTAAAATTTTAATTACGGATTTGTTGCTGCAAGTAGCAGAGACAAAAATTATATCAAAATAGGAAAGTCCAAAAGTTGCATATCATTTAAAGAATATGCTCATATATTTGTAAACATTATTTTTAGAAATAAATTTAATGCTCAAATGATAGATGTGGTATTTGATCATTATAAAGGACATTCTATCAAAAATACAACACGTCAAAAGAGAGGATTTCAGAAATATATTGATATAGAAATTGACCGACCCAATATTCCACTTCCGCAACAATAGAACTTGTTTATTCATTAGATATTTAACAAAAGACGTTTAACACATTTTCTGCCAGAACAACTTCTTCAAAACTCCATTCAGCAAAAGCATATTCAATTTCTAACTAGTGGTGGATTCGCGAAAATCAATAAATATAGAAAGAATTTTGAACCATCAAAAGACGATTTTTTTTGACTAAAGATATATGGTTCAGAACAAGGCGAGGAGACTCAAGGCGATTTCTAGCAGTACATTATTTAAATTTGGATGAAAACCTTCTAAAAAATATGCCTGCTTTTCATTCTGACCGGTTGTGATACAACCATTTAATTGTCCGGCATTGGGAACAAAACCTGTTGGAAAACTTACCTTGAAAACCATTACTTTTTGGATGGATTTGGCACTGATCAGTACTCTGAAAACATATTCTCTAATCTTGAAAGAATTTTCCTAAAAATGTATTCAAAACTGCCAATGTTACTTTCATTAACATTTTGAGGGGATTATTGACCTCTTCAAAAACCATCGCTAAATTACCACCGACTGAAGACGCCCTAAGACTACATTGTTTAAGATGTTTTTACCAGCTAAATATTTGGCTAACCTCTTTAAACCCAGATGCAGCTTCCTAATGTTGAAGAGTATGGATGGAAAGTAGATCAAGATGGAAGTCTGATACCCACTTTTAAGACTCTGCCCGACCTGCCACCAGACATAACAGAACTTACATCATGCAAATGCAAAAAACATACTAAACAATATTCTAACAATAATATTCTGTTCTAGACTGTGGAAGCAAAATTTGCAAATGCAGGAAAAAAAATATTTACTGTATCGGTTCCTGCACCTGTATGACACAGAAAAACTGCATAAATAGTTTGACCACAGCCGCTAATGTTTTGGAAAATGTTGATTCGTGTGGTGAATCTGATTCTGATTAGTTTGAAAGTCTTGTAATTATAAATTTTAATATTATTAATTTATGCTTTATATACTTCCTTCCAATTATTATTATTATTATTATTATAATTTATTTATATTGGGGATTTATTGTATTTTGCAAAGCAATAGCCTTACTGTTTATAATTGATACTTCAATAAATACCTTTAATAAATAGTTTATATTTTCTTATTTTCATTTTACATTAAAAATAAAAAAGAAATCTTGAAGTAATTATTAGTACACCCTATTAAACATGGTGGATAAATCAATAATCCCTGTATAAAATAATATAAGAGGGGTCAAACTGATTGCATACATTTCAATACTGAGATAGATGCATAAAGAGTCGATAGGCTCTGCCTTTAATGTTTGCTTTCTAGTAAAACCATGACATCACTAATGGTTTATTGCTATATTTTTGTTAATTTAAAAGCAACAAATATGAGGAAAGTACTTTTACCTTGACAACACATAGGCGAAACTTTTATAAAGAATAGTTTTTTTTCATTTAGGCCTTCGTTTTTCGTCAAATGAGAGGTATATTTCTAAAAGTAGATTTTTTATACAAATTTGTAGACGGTTGAAACTAAGACATTTAAATTTTTTTTCGATCATAAGGGCTAATGTAAATGATTTTTTTCAAATAATTATAAAAAAATACTTCCTACAAAGACTTAATTGAGCATTAGAACAAAAAATAGGCATTTTTAACCAAATTAGATGTAATTTCATTAAATTAGATGTAATAATTTTCAACAAATTCCAAAACCTAGTGATGTTAGAATGGAAGTGGCAATAGGGCTTACACCGGCAAGAAAAGTTACGTTAAGTAGTAAAAGCTCGGGCAGTTATTCATTGATAAAACTATGTAAAATTCTTCACTGTATCCCTTCTTTTACTTCTCACCTTTCGTCGCCTCGCCCCGCGTCTAGAAATAGAATGTTTTGAGTGCGAACTGTTCTTGGCATCATGAATATTATATTTTATGAATGACTTCTTATATCTCTGTTATCTCTGGGCCCAATCGTATCCTATGACTAGATTTTGAGATATATGTTGAAGTTAGAAATCCCTAATTCTTTAAAATGGACACCATAAATCACCCTTAAATATTTTTGGAAGTTTTTTGCTCATTCTGTGTAGTCAAAATACATACTTAACTACTATAGTTAAAATATTGTACCTTACAGGGTGATTAATGATTCGGCAAATTTTTTTTGTCAAAGTAGGTATTCGTAGCTTCTTGTTATTATATACTAAATTTTTGTAATAATTTGTAGAGAATCTAACCATTATTGTTCTATTTTTATTTGTTTCCTTTTTGCCTAGTCCGTAGCAGAACTCCATACTGTCATCCTCCAGCTTAAATTTCATTTGTTTAGTAAAAATATTTGCCATAATTTTTCTGACATTTTCATTTTCTGTAGATTCTGTGACACCGTATACTCTTATATTTCTACTTCTTCCAATACCTTCCTGCTTATTTTGTTGTTCAACCAAATTTTTAATAATATCTTTCTGCTTCTGCAGCTTTTCATTGATTTCATGATTCTTCTGTATTAGTTTATCAAATTGTTTATTATACTTTTCTTCGATTATATTAGTAATTGTTTGGGTTACTTGACTAATGAAATCATCAGAAGTACATAATTTAATCACAAGATTTTTAACAATTGAGTGCAATTCGTCTTCACCCTTCATTTGATTTCTCGTTGGAGGCATTATAAAAAAAATAATTCAAAACTTACTGCAGTTCGGCCTTATGAAATAACTTGCAATTTTGGACAAATGAAGTTCGGTACTATCACAACTATTACACCAAAAATCAGAATTTTATGTTACGTTTAACAACAGTTTTTTAATAATTTAATCGCAGCACTGCGAAACACGTTTAGCCTTTACGAGACATCGACATATATCTTTTCAAGGGCTTCTCAAAACAATATGATAATAATAAGGGTAATAAAATAATCGTAATTTTCGAATAAGCTGCCTGTTTTTATATTTTCATTATGCAAAGGCATGCAAGTCGTTTTGTTAAGTATTTAATGATTTAACATCCTGTAACTCCGTAATTTTTCACTTCAGACGTTAAGCTTGTTGTAATCGACACAACCAAGGCATTTTAAATCGACTTGGGTCTGATACCGTGTTAAGAATCACCCTGTATACTCGTAATGATAAAATATAAAGCTAAAGACTGTCTACATGCCTGAAACTTTGCTTTTTTATATCTACTATGATAAAACATAATTTTTCCGAAGATTTTCACAAAAATTTATTACCCTGTATATTTTGTAACGTATGAGTTTTGGACGATTGATAGATTTTATCAGTAAATTCTAAAGAGTGATGAATATGCCAACAACAGAGTAGGTGAGCTGTGTCCAGGCCGTTGGTGTTTATGCCGGTCGGCGTAGCCAGGTACGGATTAAAATTTTTTGGTGGCGGCGAAGCCGCCACCCTACGAGAAGTCTTTGCTTTGTCTTGTTGTTGTCACGGCATTAATATTATTTGTTCATGTATGTGAAATTTGCTTCTGTGGTTTATAAAATACTACTGCTAGTAAATGAAAACAAACAAGACGCATTCACACAAACATACCCACCACCTCAATTACAAATCATTAGTGTTGTCC